ATAATTTGCCCCTCCATCAAAAGTGTACAGCTATGAGGTCAAAATGACATAGATAGTTGTAAACAATACATGTATCAATCAAATAGACATAATCGTTTTGAATATAGCAAATCTTCTGCCTTATACCCATTTACATTACAGAAGTGATTCTGATTCGAGGGTGCAACTTCTAAGAACAATGTATTCACCATACTTCATTTGCTATATTAGAAGCGTATGTAATTCAACAGTTGCATGTATTGTCTGCAATAACATTAAAAATATGGCATATTTTAATGATAGAATTCTGTCTTACTGTAAAATACTTTATTTTTGCTTGTAATTAATTTTCGCTATTTTCGCTGAAGTAATGATTCAGAGAAAATTAAATCCAGTGAATATACTTTTTTCCCTATATTTTACATTCAACTCACCAAAAATCAGTGAAAATAAATTCCATACAAAACACCCAAAACACGAAAATTAATTCCAGCTAAAATAATGTTTTTCACAGTAATATGTGAGGGTCTACGCTACATAGAAAAGAAAATACAGTATGTGCTATACTAACTCCATGGTAATTAATCACTAAATAATGATATCATTGTATTAATTCCATTTGTTATGATATATAAAACATTGTATTGTACATTTACTTCACAGTGAGTTACAGGAAACTTGGGATTCAGTAGCAGCGCAGACTTTTTTAGCAAACTTGTTGAGAGACAATGGAGGTAGGTTCCATCAAAGACCTATAATGACTCACTTGGCATTATTAAATCATTTACATCAGTGGGTGTTGCGTACTCAAATAGTGGTCATTATTAAATGCCAGCGCACTGTGATGTTAAATTGGTAGCATTTTAGCTAGACTGTGCATGTTTGAAAAGAAGTGTTATACATGGCTGAATCACAACCAGCTGGTCATTTACTAAGTTTACCTTGCCCGCATGTCGTTTATTTAATTACTGATTACACATGCACGTATTATTTAATGTCAGCAGAAACCAATAATGGAATGCTTTCACTTCTGAATATGAAAGCTAGCTCTTATCAACCAGTTCTTTGATAACTTAAATAAATCCTTCCTGTTTTTACTCTGACATTTCTTGTATTTGAAACCAAACCGGCCTGAATCAAAACCATTCTTCAAAACTGTAGAAGGATACTGAGATGAAAAAAAAAATGTATGACACTGCAATTACCGGTAAGATACATTGGTGTTTATTATTATATAGTGTTATTGTCATTGCCAACTTGTTTTTTTTTATACCAAAATACATGTAGTAATATTGCCAGCTCAGCTAGTGATTTGTTGTGTGTCTGGATCGTTATCTGATTGGAACTTATTCTGTCC